AGCGTGCGACCCTACAGTCTGAGATGTGACTATACAAATAATAAAACATTAGGTAATGTGTCTTTTTAACTAGCCATCATAATAATCTATATAAATGTGAATTGATTTGATATTTATTCAACTGTCAACAAAGAGAGAGAGAAAAGTCATAATTTGTACACATGGGAGATTAAATTCCTGTATCGCTGTCAGCTACATTAACTGACTTCCTGGATATCTCTTCAATTAGAGCAACATACCCTAGCATTAATAAATCAATGCTGATGCCATTTTGATATATTTTGAATGTCTTTCATTATAAACTTCAATAAACATTTCTCCCTGATGTATCAAAGTCAAAGTTACTGATCGTAATGGCATCCACTTTATTTATGTAGCACTACCCTCTTGAGGGCCGCTGAGTTTTTTTTGGGGTCCCCCTTAAGCTCTGTACATCCAGGCAACACACATTTACCTCACTGGCATCCAAAGTCAGTAAACAGTCCATGGACATGTTTTTGTTTTAATTTTATTAAGGGATTAAACTTGGATAGGTAAAGGGGTTATGGGATGACAACTATGATTGAAGACACAGAATAATGAGGACTTTCCTGCTCTGGCACACTTAAAAAAAAAAAACAACAAACACTTGACAGCATTCAAGCCAGAACCATTACAGTCCTTAGCAAAATAATCCCCTTCTAGGAACTTGGTGTCCCCTGAGTGGATTTCTAGTAACGTGACCATGTGTAGGAGCTCTTGGTCCCCTTGGTGTACAGAATACCACCCCACCTGGTATCTGATTCCAGGACAAGTAGTTGGGTAAGCTATGAACTGTCCCCTGAACACCTGTCAGAATTTGCATCCAGCAGACCTCTCTCTAGGCCCTGGGAGTGTAGAGATACTCACACTGTTCTTGCCCTACAGCTGTGGATAGAACTGTTTTTTCAGGCCTTCTAGCTGGGCTGGTTCCTCTCCAAGCTTTGTAGGCTGTCTTTCCTCGGAGTACGGCTGGGCAGTGGAGCTCCCTCTTTCAGCCTCTTCTCAAATTCCAGCCGCCAGGCCTGGAAGCAGAACCCCCCTCCTCTGGGGCTCCCTCCCCAGCCACACAGCAACACCTCTCAACAATCCATCTTCAACCCGACTCTCCCGCTAGCATGGCTCTGTCATATTTATGGGCTAGTCTACCATACTACCAGAGCCTCTTAACCTGGGATTGGTCAGACTTCCGTGAATATGCAGATTGAAGTCACCACCTTTCCACCCTTTTGCTTCTGGAAGCTTCCATGGACCTCCTTCTGTAGACAAGCACTGCAGCTTTCAGCCTGGACCTCCATACGGGCTGGCTGTATACAAGCTTCAGGGCTTGTGAATTACTATGAGAGCGCTCATTAGCCCTCGCAGTTATTCAGAGCTACAAGCCACGGTGGATGACAATAGCTGTAGTCCATTCATTCACAGGACACCTACGCCCACATGGCGGTTATCTTTTTAAATTGTGACAGCAGGTGCGGGGAGAAGATCCCACACCCGCTGTCACACTAAAGGGATGGATCAGGGAAACTGGCTGCCAGAGCTGGAACGTGTTACATGTTTCACCCTAAATGCAGGTGGAACATGGAACGTGTTCCAAAAGGTGAACCTATCCGTTAAATGAAATCTTTACTGACATAGATACAAGGGATTCTGTACCTGACCTCGTTCATAAAAATAACATGCATCATGGTAACCTGCTGAGTACCCACTGGAGGTAGCCCTGTCTGTTGTGAGCAGAATAACGTAGGCCAATGAGCTCTCCGAAAGTTTTTTTTTTTCCTCTCAATACTTTGTATGAACTCACGTCAAAGTCCCTGCACATTTTGGATGCTTTTTTCTTCATTGGATTTCTTAAAATGGTAGCTTCATGTTTGTTTCCATCTTTTGAGTCAGCCTATTTGGTCATCAATTTGGCAATTCTATGTGGCTCTGAGACAGCCACATTACTAGTGGAGGTACACCAGGCAGGTAATGGGCTATCACGAGGCAGCTGTTCCTTTCCCTACATATTGACATAATTCATGTAATCCAGTGACCATAAACAGGAATAGGCGGGATATGAAGACACCCAAAACTTTAGATTCTAAGTATAGGTTCATGTTAAGAGTGTAGTGGTTTTCTAGTCTGTGGTTCAGATGTTTAGATCTAGGACTGTGAAGATCTTGTAGTGACTGAACCTTGCGGTCTCCCTACTGTTAAGATTAAGAGTTGGAAACCTTCAGTTCTCCACAGACATCCCAGGTTGACAGTATTCTGTTATCCAGCACATCTGATTAGTCCCTATTGCTGCCTCTTCCTCTCCCAGTGTGAGCTCTACTGCATAGAGGATTACAAGCGTGAGCTCTGCTGTATAGAGAATTACAAGAGACTGATGCAAAGACAAATGCAAATACTTACACAACACACTTACTAAACATTTATGTAATAATTTTGTATTGACTGTATTATATAACTGCATTAGCTGGTGATATTTTAGTGCTATTATGAAATCTATCTAGAGTTCAGCTTGAATGCATGATACTACAAAGCAGGATTGTTTTTTTTCAGGAACTTTTATTTTTTACCACAATGTAACATAGAACAGCAATCTAATCTGGCTTCGCAGACATAAATTTATTTTTGATGTTGATGTTGTATAAATGTACTGTTCTTTAAAAAAAATGGATGCTTAACAACATAAGCAAACGCAAAAATGTTAACAGGCTCTTATTATTTTCTCATTCCTGCAGTCAGGAGTCAGGACTCTAAGCTGTCCATGTAAATTCTGTTTACTGAGTGATGTTCAAGACAGTAAAGATCATTGATCCTTGCTTTGTCCATCAATCTGTCTTATTTCTGAGACCCTTAAAACATTAGAAAAATAATTGATCAAAATGACATTGCATACAATAAAACAGGCACCTTCCAAAATGACCATTCAACTCTTAAAAGCATTGTTCAATTATGAATAGTCTATAGGGAACCATTTACCACTCATCAGGGGATGAATAAAGATGGAAAATAGCTTATCAATTTTATTGCAAATTAGTCATATTAATCATTAAAGACTCAAACTAGCTTTGTGTTTAATGTTTGTTTTTTTCAGGCTGAGCATCTTAAATATATAATAGAGTGTAATTTCAGTTTATAAGTACTTTATCTATGTATCCTTTTGCAGAATTGTTCTGTTACATTATAGGTTCAAAATGATGCCAAGTAAACTGATACAGTACATGGACACACACACACATACACATAGACATACAGTGTACTGTATATATTGCACAGAGGTATGAATGGATGGATAAATAGATTGTAAAATGGTTTAGGTAAGAGTTAAAAGTAAATTCTATTGTATGTGTGGGTAAACTGAAATTCTGCACTTTACATAAAATGAAAGTAGTTCTAAAGTCTGACAGTGTTTTACCTTCATGCATTCTATGCATGAAGGTAAAAAAAACCTTCAGTGTGCAGTTCCCCCCTCAGCCCCCCCTAATGATTACCTAAGCCCGATCCTGATCCAACGATGTGCAGGAGAGCAAAGGTTCCTGGGTCTCTCCCTCCTCATTGGCTGAGACACAGCAGTGGGAGCCATTGGCTCCTGCTGCTGTCAATCACAGCCAGTGAGGAGGGAGCAGAACATACAGGACCAGCTCAGGAGTGAGCACGCAGAAGTGCCCCCAGAGCAAACGGCTTGTTCTTGGGGCACTTGCCAGGGGGGAGGGGCCAGGAGCACCAGCGGGGGGACCTGAAAAGAGGAGGATCAGGGCTGCTCTATGCAAAGAGCAGGTACTGTAAGTATAACATGTTTGATATTTTTTTTTAGGAAACAATTTGTACCTTTTATGATCACTTCAAAGTAATATCACATATTCCATACGAAAAATATATTTAGTGAAAAGATTTTTTTTTTTTCAGGTCACCTCAAAAGTCACAAAAGGGCACCTTTTGAGGTTTGATGAACAGAGCCTTAAAATTTAACTTTTGTCATCATTAAAAATGTTACTATGTAGTTTCCCCTGCTGCATAGCTCATTTAGTCTAGCAAGAGTAGGCAACCTTTGGTCGCCTAAATGTTTTGGAAGTACCAGTCTGTTCTACTACAAGTCTGTGCCACTGAAAGTCATGTTTGTGGCTGTCAGAGTCTTTCAATGCCTCATCTGCTCTTTCAATGTGTGTTGTATATGAAGAATGAAGAATGAAGCAATGCTTCTTAATGCTCCTGTTGCATTTATGATGTGTTTATGACGATGTGGGTGAATGATTATGTAGATGTGGGTGAACCTTCCGTGTTCTCACATACTATGCAGGACCACTGATCCTACAATATCCGCAGTGATGTTGGAGGGTCAGACTGGACAACCAGTGAGAGCAATGGCTTTGCGGGAGCGGTTGTACTGAAAGCTCACTCCCTTAGAAGCCACTAATTTAATAATTTTTCTGGAATTACATGTCTAAATAGTGGGGTATCTCATCCACTGTGACATACCCTTAAGTCAAACAAACATAACAAATGTAAATTGTCATTAAATCTATTAAACAATATTTTAGACAATACTGTAAATTTTAAAATGTTTACATTTCTTAAATTACAATACAATAAAACAAGACAGAAGTCTGGATGGAAATATACAATAAAGAAATGCAAAGTAAAATAAAGCTATAACCAAACCACCAAGAGTATAAACAAAATTTATTTTAACTAGTAAAAAAGTAAAAAAAATAGCTGAATAATATAAAAATAACCCTAAAGTGGTCCAGTTAAAGTGTTACTAAACCCAGGACCTTGCATTCATTCACAATACACACTACATGGAAATGCAATTATTTTAGTAAATTTAAACTGTTAAATACTTTTTCTTATCAGCCGTTAGAGCAGTCTTGTGACTTCTATCAGTGTTCAGCCGAGAACAGGTTAAAGCTTGTAGGAGGAGTTTTCTTTCTGCTCAAGGAGGATGCAAAACCCCTGACCTCTGTCTGGACAGTGCTGATTGGCCCTGTGCTGACTCACAAGAAAAAAAAACTCTCTAGCAATACACACTAAACGGAGCATGTGCAGAGTGACTCCACACGATATGTCTTATCAGGAGATAAGAGGGAGACACTGGAAGAAGGGGAGGATCAGATAAGTCAGGATAAATCCGCATTTTTCAACAATGCAGAAGATTAAATTCTTAGGTTCCACAGTAAGTATAACAAGCATGCTTTACTGCATATACAGACTGATTTTACTGTTGTAGGTTTAGTAACATATTAAGCTTGAACTTGCCTGCTTCCACACTCCTTTTTTTCTGGCTCCTCTCCTGTGGGTGGGGCAATATGTTCTAGAAGCCACGCCCACACCACACACATCGCCCTCTTCATTAATATCACACATAGTGTCCCCTAGCAACTAGGTGTCACATAAGGGTCCTTTTGAGTTTGAAGATTGCTGAGATCTCTCTTTTTATATAAAGTTCAATTAGCCTTCAGCTATAGGGAGAAGTCTGTGGGAGTGAGGAAAAAGGTAAGTATTCCTTAGAATTTTCTAGACTAAACAAGCAGTTAATCCTTACTGTGGAGGAGAGGGGAGCAGGGGAACCTACATAGTATTTTTTTACTGCTGACTGGAGTTCAGCTTTAATTTCCATATGCTAAAAGTGATATATTTTTTCTGCCCCTACCTCATGCCCGTAGTCTGGTGCTTCCACTCCTACACCAATAAACCTGCTAGTCATACAGGGTGGATTTACTAAAGGCAAATAGTTTGTGCACTTTGTAAGTGCAGTTGCACTCATTTTCTCCAGAGCTTAGTAAATACGGTAAAGCTTCACTTTGTGAAAAAAAAAATAACCAGGACAAAAGAAAAAAAAACAGCCTCTTTGCTTGCATATGATTGGATCATGGAAATCAACAGAGGTTTACCACATTCACTAAGCTATAGGAAAATGAGTGTGACTGCACTTGCAAAGTGCACAGTCTATTTGCTTTTAATAAATCCACCCCTTTGTGTCATACTAAAAAGACCAGATGCCATTTCACACAAGTGGTTCAGGGTGAAGGAAGAAAGAAATCGCTTAACCATTCTGCATCAGAACACCTAGATTAAAGCCCTAGAAGAGTAGATAAAACAGTTCCCTATAGGCCCCTTTCAGACGGACCCATCAGCTGATCCGCCTGCCCAGCAGGGAATCTTTCCGCTGAGCAGGTGGATGACAGGTCTGTGTCTGCTCCACTGCTGCAAAGCAGACACAGATGCTGCCAGCTGTCTTCTATGGGGCGGTCAGATGGAAATGGGACGCCTGTCCCTTTCCATCTGACTGCCATCCGATCTGATCCACCAGACGGATGGGGAAGGGATCCCCTTCCATCTGTTTTTGACATACAGGATCAGATCAGATGCCGGTGGGCGCCAGCGGACAGTTCTCCACTGACACCTGCCAGTCCATAGAGGTCTATTGATGGTCCGATCGGGTTTGCTTGAAAAACTGACAGGTCAATCAATCAGACCATCAGTGTGAAAGGGGCCTTATGAGCTATCAGTTCAGTTCTTTACAAGGTGTATGGACCCTCAGTAGGTAGACTGCCCACATGGAAGAAAAATATATTTGATATATATATTTTAAAAATATTCTTCCCAAATATATTGACATATATTTGAAATGCTACAATTTTGGCCATATTCAATATATTTCTAAATATATTTCAATAAAAATATATATATATACTGCATGTTGAAATGCGTTTTTATTACAAAATATATGAAAAATATTTTTTTAAAATACATTTTAAATATACTGTATGTCTTTAAAAATATAAATCTACATTTTTGGAGTGAATTTACAAAATATATGTAAAAATATATGTTCAAGTGACTTTTTTATAGGTAATAAACTGAAGAATATATTTTATAAAAATATATTTTTAGAAATATATTGTTTTAAAATATATTCTTCAGATTTTTTTTAACATATAAAAATGTTATTTTAACATATTTTTACATATATTTGTAAATGCATTCCAAAAATGCAGATTTGTATTTTTAAAGACATACAGTATATTTGAAATTCATTTTTAAAAATATTTTTTGCATATATTTTGTAATAAAAATGCATTTCAACATGCAGTGTATATATATATATATATATATATATATATATATATATAAATATATTGAATATGGGGCCAAAATTGTAGCATTTCAAATATATGTCAATATATTTGGGAAGAATATTTTTAAAATATATTTTTAGCTGTAAAAACGCTCTAATGCTGAAAAACGCATCAAAACGCGGTAAAATGTGGTAAACCGCCACAAGCCAGCCTTTTGTGGACTGTTTTTTACCAAAAAATTCTTTTTGGTAAATAAAAAACACTAAAAACTGCAAACTCAGCTAAACGCTAATGCAAAAACGCTAAAAAAAGCTGAACGTGTCTTTACACAGCTAACGTTACCAGCATTATCAAAACGTCCAGTATGCATGAGTACTGAAAGGTCTCCATGCAAGAATAGATCTACTGTGTATATGGTGTCCGTCTGAAATGCAAATTGAGAGCGAAGAGCAAGCCAAGGATGTGGGAAAGTAGAGTGCAGCCTTTAGACCATTATAGTAAGCCAGATGGGATTGGAGGTTAAAGAGGTAAAATGTGTATCTGGCAGACACGGAGGCTCTTAAAATTAAAATTGTACAGCAGAGCTCAGGCAGAAAGAGGAAGAGCAGCACAAAGCACCAGTAAAATAGCTGCTTTTCTCATGTGCTAACATACAGATAGGAGGAGAATGACAGAGAGATGAACTCACAAATCTGTTGTTTCTCCTTATATTGTCCAGTCAGAGACTGTGGGGTGACACAAGACCTACAAGTGTTACTTAACTGCAGCAGATAAAGATCAAGGTCACCTGTCCTGCAAGACAGAGCAGTGCTGACAGGCAGAGCTGTGTAAGTCTCAGGAATGGATGGACAGAACTACAAATTCTTTAGCAAGTAATACAACTCCCATATATGTTTTTATTAACTGCATATTTTGGCTTTTTGCTCGCAGTTCAGATTTAAAGTGGTTGTAAAGGTTGTAAATAAAAACCTCTGTGCAGCAGCCCCCCTAATACTCACCTAAGCTCCCTCTCGATCCAGCAATGTGCACTGGAGTCTCAGCTATACTGGGACTCACTCTTCTCATTGGCTGCTATCAGTCACAGCCAGTGAGCCAATGAGAAGAGAGAGCAGGTGGGGCTGAGCTGCGGCTCCGTGTGGGAATGGACACATTGAGCAGCGCCTCGGGAGTGCACATGCTCGGGTGCCCCCATAGCAAGCTGCTTGCTGTGTGGGCACCCAACAGAAGGGAGGGGCCAGGAGTGGCAGCAGGGGACCCAGGAAGAGGAGGATCCAGGCTGCTCTGTGCAAAACCAGTGCACACAGCAGGTAAGTATAGACATGTTTGTCATTTTTTAAAAAACATATTTAAGCCTTTTAGAATCACTTTAACATTTCAAAAGTTTTGAAATATTTGAGGCAATAGCTTTGGTAATATAATTAGAAATAGTAATATAATTTAGCAAGGAAACAAGTGAAAACAATAATAGTCATCAACATAGATTGCTGTCTGTGGTCCTGCTTCTAAGTATAAATATGTACATATAATATTTCCCCAGACACAGTTTGTAAAATAAACCCAAGCTGAGTTATGTAAATATCTGGCTGTATACCTTTGTTTTGCTTCTGAATTTCCTATGTGTCAATCCAAGTTTACAGCATACAACTTTTTTAAAGTGATTTCTAGATTATGCTGATATATAGACTATGGACACAACTCAGGTGTCCGTTTATGACACAGAGAATAGCTGCGATTCAGAGGATCACAGCTATTCTCTGGTCATTCACAGTTTATGATACTCAGGAGATCAACGGAGAACATGTTCAGTCCTTCACTGGAGATCTGTGTTCTCCCTCCAGATTCTCCAGCCCAGAGCTGGAGAATCGGAGGGACCGCAAACTAAGCAGCGATAATTTACCTCTGCTTAGTAAACTGATCTTTTACTGTAATCTTGTGAGAATATAGTAAAATCAGCCGTTTTCCAGTGTTTGTAGACCGTTCTCCAGCATTTGTAGGCCGTTCTCCCTTCATTTGGAGAACTGATCTACACTGCTTCATAAACTGCATTCACAGGAGAACTGTGTTCTCCGAGAATGCCGGAGAACTGAGCAGCGATCTATTACCGCTGGTTCATAAATGGACACCTCAATGTATGTAAACATGCAATTTATTCCAGCAGATATCACTCCCACAACTTCAATGTTGCTTATTGCAAAGTTCTGTGCAACTTCAGAGAATTTATTTTTGTAAGATTTGATATATATTCTTCAGGAACTTGTAACTTCAAAATGTAAAAAGTCAACTGTGTTAGATGGTCATTTAATTAAGGAACTTTTGATTTCTATAATGGACATTTCCAATATTCAAGCAATACTCTGCAGATGGTAGTTAATCTGGGAACCTCTGCACTGTACTGCAGTACTTAGCAGGGACTTAGTTAGGGCTCACAATACCATTAATAATTACAGAATTACAAAATAACTCTGACACTAATGCTATGGCATTATTTTTCAAAGAGGCATGCTAGGGCAGGTATTTGGTTCAGTTGCCACACTTTGTTCAGTTGTTCCAGCAAAGCATTTCATTTACTGTAGTATTGATTCTTTAAATCAACAGTTTCATGTGTTAATTCCAGATGATCATTAATTATTTGTGATTTGGCAGTGGAAAAAAAAGAGAAATTAAATATATGTCAACACACAAATCTGTTTTAATAGTGGTGGGAACTCTAAACCTTTGACCAAATATAAAGTAAGTGCTTGGGGTTCGAGCTTTAACCACACCACAGTAACCACACCTTCCCTGTGATAGCTGATCTCTCACTCATTCAACAACAAATAACAGTGTGCCTACTAGGAACAGAACAAATAGGAAGAAAATGAAAACTGAATAAAGACTATTATAAATATAGAATACCACATTTTTGGTTAAAAGAAATGCTAACTATGAATTGTTTTCCTCATTTTTTACCTCAGACGTGACCTCTGGTTTTCTTTGGTAGAGTGTAAATTACATGTCGCCAGCATAAAATATTAAACCCAATTCATGCTTAATTATTGATGCTATTATCTATTTTCTAATAATGGCATTAGAAAATCAACATCCCCCATTAAGTAGCTTTCTTACATTAGATGCTTCTTGA